CATTCTCCGTATTTCAATAAGCTATACAGGCCACTCTCTTTTGACAATTTAATCATGGGTACTATTAGTCACATTTATTTTATTGTCAATTGTAATTATAAACCAAAGCAACGATTCTCTCCCTAAACTTTTTGCTAAGAAATGTGCTGCTTTGAAAAATGAAGTGGGGTACTGAAACATGCCATAAAATTCTTTTTAACAGAGAAAAATCCCTGTATTTCATGAGCAACCAAATATTTTCCTATGTATATTTTATTGTATCTATGTATGCTTGAGTTTTCTTGGACTTTTTCCCCCTTTTTTTTTTTTTTAATGTGAGCTACTTACTTTCTTCCAAAAAGTATTAATTTCTGTTTTCCTTTTTTGTATCATATTTGGTCACTCTGTTAATCTACTACCTCTTCTACCCTGTTTCCCTTTTCCTTCACTGGTGTACGTGTACATTTTGTTTCTCTTTTCCTGCTATACTTTCAGAGCTCACCTACACTATGTAGTCTGTGCTAATATAACTATACTTGCTAAATCTTGTAGTTGAGACGCAGCATATTCTGCAGAGGAAATAACATGGCTACAGGCTTTTTTTAGGGAATACTGCGTTGATCAACAAACTTTTGTCCTGTGCACTGAAATTTTTGTTGGAAGAACTATACTAGTCACCAAGCACTTTCTTCACATAGCTCGCACACAAATTATGAGCCCAAGTACAACTTCACACTCTTTTTGCAGACTTTCAGCACACCCTCTAAGAAGATCTTCATATACATCTGTCACAGTGTTGCTCCTCATCCACTGCCATGTAGATACAGTTAGCTTTCCACTCACACTAACAGCATGAGAACAGAGGATATCTTACCTCTGGGGCATCAAAATCAAGGCTCGTTAGAGACCCATATTCAAGTCCACTTCATTTTGCTGTAACATTACACAAGCTGCCTGAGAGCGTTCAGTGTGTACTTGGAAAAAAAGATTTACTACTGAGAAAAAGACTAAAGGAAACCAAAGTGCTCCATGCATTGTTTAAATTGTGTACATGCATTATGTATGTCTTGTATGATTTATGTCCACTTGTGCACAAGTGGAAATTTTAAGGATAAATATAGCCTCCGTATGAAAAGATTGCTTCTCTTTTTCAAAATCATTTACACTTCCTACGCTGAACGTGATATCAGACCAAACTTAAAGCTCTTCAAGATTTCATCCCTCTCTTTAATCAAAGAAAAGCTACCATTACCACTCAGAGCTTTGTTAAATTGATTAGATTTCTAGCCAATTCAATGGTAATTTTTTAAGTTCATAAAAGCAATTCTATGATGAAAATCTCAGCAGTCTCTGAACACTAAAAGCACCCAACAAAGAAAAAAAAAATAAACTCACATAGAACAAGAAGAAGCTGTTTGTCTACTTAAGTCACAAACTGATTAAAAATATTTTTTTATGTAGTCTGGTGTGCTACAACAGTTGCAAGCCTATCAGCACGGTACTATCCATTATCTCTGCTTGCTCTCAATCCTCAAGTGAAGTCAGAATTGCTGCTGTGAAGGTGACAGTGTGACAGAGGTGGTGCTATCCGTCACTTGGTGTAATTGCCATGAATCTGATGGGACTGTGGAAATGCAACTCTCAGATCCACCTGTTCCTTATTTGTTCTGAGATATTAAAGACACTATCTGCAATGGTATGTTATCTTTTCACTGAGCTACAGAAGAGGAGGTGGAAACCAATGCCTATTTCCCAATTTGGAAGGTAATTGTCTTTTAAGAAAGAATTCTATCTTCTCATCTTACTGCTCTCTAAAAAGTACCAGAGATCCTTCTGGTGGCAGAGACTCCCTGTTCACCAAATCCATTTTAGTTTGGACATACTTCCACATATATGGCCACGGAAAACACATAAGTACTAAATTTGACATAATTCAGAACCTCTGTCAGCTGTGTTGCTGACTTCCTGGTAAAAGCATTTTGGGTTGCAATCCGTTAGCACTTAATGCAAAGGCCAAATGTTTGAAATCAGCCAAACAGCATCATTCTGAGTTTGCAGCTAACTGACTGGTCTCTAGGGGTTACAAGCTCACCAAGCCCACCATAGACTCACTAGAGTCTCCTACCATTAAAACAATAATAGCAAGGAAAATAAAAGATAGCATCATAGGAAATCTGTTTAACCGTTAAGGGCACAACATGAACCAAGGAAACAATAGCTAAGCAAACTAGACTACTGGCTGAATGAAACTGTTCAAGAAAAAACACGTATTACTTTAGAATGAGCTGCCACTGGAACCTGAAATTATTTTCTTCCTTCTCTTTTTGTGACTTCTAACTGGCTTCATTTGGTACTAAGACCATGTAATGAAATTAACTCCTCATGTCTGCAAGAAACCAGAAAATAGTTTGCACATCACATTCTGCACTGGCTGCAACAAAGAAATCTTAGTCATCATGAAAATGATCCAGAAATGGAAAACATCTGAAAGGTATACACAACACACAATCCTTAAGGATCTGTGCTTTATGATGATGATAAGCCAAAGAACAGAGACTGCTATGAAAGAACAGCATTAATTTCATAACCCTGACATGATTATAGTAACTGTTGGCACATGTGTAACTTGGGAGTCAGGTTTTTCTGGCTTTGTGTATGCTGTGGGTTTATGTTAAGGTACACCTATACATGTATAGGTAAATGTACGTATGCATGGTTTTCTTCTGCTGTGCTTGTCACTCCTTATTCATCTAATGATTTGGCTCCCTGCAATGCAGTACTGCATTTGCAGAAACAAAAAGCCTACTATGTTACTCTTGCAGATAACAATGTCTTTACTCTGACAGAAATATTTAGAAAAGCAGCACAAGCAGCAGCCCTGTCATTTTGTCAGTGTTGTCTTGAATTAATTCCTTTCTCCATGGAATCAAAACTAGCCTTTCCTAAGATTCTTTCAGAACTAAAAATACTCTTGAGTAGTTACCAGAAAATTCCATATTAGAAATGGATATACCCAGTCCATAGATGAAATCTGTATTTCGACCACAGTCTGATGTACTGAAGCTTATCAGTCAGTTCAGCCATACTGAAATAGTCAAAATTCCATTTTCAACCACTAATGTCTCAGAACTCCTGTACATTAAGTGGCATGGGTGCAATACAGCTTGTCACGCAAAGAACTGCTTTGCTAATGGTATGTTCGTACAATTTCCACATCATCCTTAACCATCACTGACATACCTCTCAATTACTTGACTTGGAAATTAACAGAGTTATCATGGCTGGCACAATCACGTGCCTAGCTCATTCTGTGTCCAGAACCAAGTGCTGCTTTGCTTGAGTCACTTTTCAAACATCGTTGGTCATCATTCAGCACTGCTCTCTACTAAACAAAATTTCAATCTTATTTTTTGGAAAGTCTATAGAAACTGATTGAAAAATTTAACCTCACCTGCCTATTAACTCCAAGACATGGCCAGAGACTCAGCATGTCAGAACCATCTTATGCCATTAATAAATTATGACAAATTTCACTTTCCTGTACTAACTTGTAACTATCTGAAAGACCAGCTTAGTCAGAGAATATTGTAAATTCAAAACGTCAACCCAGTCTTACATCTTACACGACATGTGCATGAAGTCCATTTTTAATTAAAGAACATTAAGAGGCTGTAGAATAAATCCACAATAATTGCATTAATATCCTCAGAAGATAGAAAGGTACAGAAGAAAACGATCAGATCAAAAAATCTGATTATCAGATTGAAGAACAGGTCAGTCCTTAAAGGAACAGCTGGAGCCACTTCTTTCCAGTTCATCAGTTGACATCAGCCCACTTTTTTTCAAAATTCATGGCAAGTCAGCTTGTATCTCATATGCTGCTACCAGGTAAAGTACAGATCCCATTACTTCAGTGACCAAGGCTGCCTTTGTTCCCCACAATAGCCGGTGTATCGGGTCTGTCTGAGCTGGAGTCAGCACCCCCTCAGCAGCCCTCCCAGAGCTGCGTGTGCCCCTGGCAGCCAGCAGGGG